GGGGCGGGGTCCAGCACGCAGGGGGAAAGGTGGGAGGCGGCGGAGTCGTGTCAGGAGGGGAGCGGGTGGCCCCTCCGCTCCCCCGTGGGAGGAAGGGTCTGAAACGTGAAATCTGTTTCACGAGTTGCTTATTCCCAAGCAGCAGCACAGCTGGGCAGTTTCTCAGAAAGATAAGTGCAAGTACAGGGAGGGGATACCACAAGACAGAAAGGCCGACAGCAAACACTCTTGCGTCAGAGAGGCACGCTTGCTGTCTCTTGCTGCTGCAGATCTGCCTACCTCAGAGCATGGCATCTGTGTATGGCTTACATCTGGCTGGAGTGCTCTATGACTTGGGTTACTAAACACAGGAAGAGTGCTTATGCATGAGGGAAGTGTTTGTGTATTTGTTTCAAGAACTTGTTTTCGCTTGACCATGAAAAAGATCACGTAGCGAATTGGTAATAGGATGATACTAGGGTATTACTGGTGAAGCATAATGATTATAGTTCAATTTTCAGCTGGGCTGATGGAGGGACAAAAATTATTTTTATCTGGTGCACGTGTGCTGGCTTTCATGCAAGTAGCCATGAGCGTAGAGTCCCTAGTGCAGAAATGTCCACAAAAAGCAAAACAGAATAAAACAAAAACGTGCCACAGCAGCAGGCCCTTACCTTGGTATTCCTGTTAGCACTAATCATTAGTATTTTTCTCTTCTGCTATTGTCAGATCAGGAACAAAAAATCTTAGGACTGTTGCACTGGATCAGACACCTGGGTCTGGCTGGTCTAATTAATGTCCTTTCTTTTACATTAGATGACATGAGTTGCTACAAAGAAGGATACAAAACATGTGCCCTGAAGCATGTAATTTATGCCCTTACAAAAACCTTTTCTTTGTCATAGCAACAAATTGTCAAATTCATATAAAAGTCTGATCTCTTTCAGATCTTACTATCTTCTTCCCCCTAAAAAAAAAAAAAAAGCAACCTGGCGGTAATATCCATGGGCTTATTAGTATTTAAAATATTTCAATTTGTTTCTGGGTAATGTTGTGACATATTGACAGAGCAAAATATGTGATAGAGAATGAATTATTTCATTTTTAATGCTATATGAACAAACATGGAGAAAAGAGAAAGCATTTTTTATAATTTGATCATTTAGCTTTTCAGTGTTGTCATCTTACTACTTTGAAAAAATCAATCTTAGATATAAATAGTTATATTTGAAATAACACATTGCATAAGAATAAAGAAGTTATAGCAGTGGTGGTCAGAGGAAATAAAATTAATTTTTTAATGTTTTGCTGGTAGGACAGCTCTTTAGCTTTAACAATACTGAAAAATCATTCTGTCATAAGCATAGGAGAATACATAGTAACGTGTAGGAGTACAGGTTGCCTAATTAGGTTGGCTAATTGTCAGAAGCAAATTATAAGCAGTTCAAAATACTTTCAAAAGAAAGCGCAGTACACAGATTGTTTTTTCTTATCTTTTAAATACTTTTCTCTGTTTCCTTGTTAGCATAGGCCCAGGTGTTCCAGGAAAGTTGTCCCAGGTACACAGCACTAAATTCAGGCTCTGTAATTATACATGTTTTCTCAATGATCCTTGTTTCATGTACTGAGACTTTGGTGTGCTGATATTAGAGAGAGGCAATAATGTGGGATTAAAGTAAAACAGGTGCAGCAGTAATTGCTAGTACAGGAAAATAATTGCTTTGTTGCCCTCTAAGCAATGCAAAGATTTGTAATGACTAAGGGCAGAGGAAATGATTTGTGTTTCTGTGCTGCTACTTTTTTCACTTTTTGCTTATCCACAGATCCAATCTTGTGGTATTTTGACCATCTCTCAGCAGGGTGTTTGTCTTGAAAAGCCTCAATCTGTTGAAGTAGAGACTGCTCAGGTCTTCATGTGGGTATGTATACATGTGTGTGTATGTGGGAAAGAGTGAATGCTATTTTTGTTTACAGTGGATATATCTAAAGAACTAATTGAAAATGCAAGGAAGCAAGATAAATCAATGAAGAAACAACAGAAGCGTAGTTTTGAATGCAAGAATATTAAAATTAGTTTATTGAAATAGTGTTCTTTAATTAGAGAACATAATAGAAAGCAGTCACAGAACTGGAATGGGTTGCATTTGATTTTTCTATATCCATTTTTAGAGTTTTTACAAGAATTTACTAAGTTTTAGGAGTTTCCCTTTGAACTAATGGTTTTGACATGTGGAACTCCTAGCCAAGATGAAAATCATAACTGCACAAGACTTAGTCTTCAGAGGAAAGAAGAGACTTAAAGTGGAACTGAAAAACTGAAGAAATTCCACTTGCAACATGAGTAGCTAGTCATGTTGTCATAGCAGTTATGTCAGTCACTGTAGCACTGAGTAACCACAGAAGAACTGTCTGTGAAAACCACTTAAATGACAAGTCAAAATATCATGAAGAAAAAGGAAAAGCTTTGGAGTTAAACAAAAATAATTTATGGAAAAAAAAAGTTCATTAAAAATACTACATGAAAAAATAGTATTAGTAATTTAAACATGCTTAGGTGGTTAATTGGACACAAAATTACTTGACTACCACATAAGATAGAAGATTTTTTTAAATATGAGGCTTATTAACCAGTAGAGCAGTTTATTTAGAAATGTTTTTGATTTCTTTATCATTTATGGTCTTTAAATCAAGCCAAATATATATTGTAATATCCTATGGCTGAAGCAGAAGTACCAGATTTGATGAAAATGGTTAGGACCATCTTTTATTTGTATCAGAGTAAACTCTCTGATTCTAATGCTGTTAAATTGTCAGAAGATTTATCCCTGCATACGTGAGTGAACTACTATGGCTTGATTAGTTGAGTTGTATAACTAATTGTGGTTCTAGCTCAGTGAAAGAGGTTTAAAATAACATACTTCACTTTTTTTTTTCCTGTTGTAAGAGGCTCATAATTATTCAGCATGTCTCAGCTGCCACATGGTAACTCTTTCAAAAGCTCCTTTAGCCAACTTACGGTTCTGAGACCTTAGCGTTGCACAGAGGCTGCTGGAATATAAACAAGCTATGCCTATTGTGTATAACCATTTGTAATATTGGCAACAAAATGGCCATGTAGGTATCTAAATTGATAGCTTCTTTTCTGGAGGTGCTCCTATGAGCTCCATTTCCAGAGAAGGTATATTTTCAGCATCTTTGAAATCAGGCTGTAGAAACCTATCAGTGGATATGCAGCCAGTTTTGAAAACTGTGGCCTGAGCTCTTAACACGTTGCAGATCTGAAAAATGTTTTGCATGATAAACTCCCATTAAACACTGGAGGTTCAGTAATATTTTTGAATTACTCAACAGTTTGTGAACCTTCCTCCTAAGGTGGGAAATTTGGTTATGGGAAACCTTTCTTGTTTCTTTTGTAAGCAATTTTAGTTCTGTTATCATGCCTTTGGCAAATAAAGTTTTTCAGGAAAAAAGAAACATTAACATGAGTATTACTAAACTATGTCTGTTTTGTATGCTAAAATAAAATCATTATTAATAGACAATGGGAGTAAACTGAACCAAATGTTACATAATAATCTTTCTTCAGTTAATCAAAAGGAAAGAAAAACACACAAGGCATAACCTGAAAACATGTTTAAAGGGATGTGGGAAATTCTGTAATGCAAACAGCATTTTAAGTAGATAAAACTTTTTGTATTTTAAAGCTTGTCATATTTTTCTATCACTGATTTTCATACAAAACCATCACACACAGTAACCTTAGTAAACTTATTTCAAGAATTCTGGTTAGTGGTAGTATGATTAGTATTATTACTAGTACTTCTGGTACATTTCCTTCATACCTGATGAAACAGCTTGATGAATAGGGGATTTCCCTGAGCAGGGGAATTCTCTGGTGAGGGATGGGTATCTCCCAGCTGTGCTGGGAGATCTGCCCCTGCTGCTGTGCTCTCACTGCATGGCTCCCTCGAAGAGAGCTGCAAGCGCATCTGATGGTGCACTAGCATGCAGGGCACCTGCATACTGTAGTAGGACACTGTAGCGCAAAAAAACACCAGCTCTATCATTGTACTGCACAGTCACAGTATATGTTGACTACATAGTATATGTACACAGTATATGCAGCTACTGCAGCTGCTTCAGGATTTTTTTTCTATTCAAATGATACTGTTAGTCTTTATGTTACCCTGAATGACTAAGTTTTTCTCTATAATTGGCATTTGTCATTGTAGCAGTACATAGTTCTATTTTAGCAGATAACCGTATCTGCTACCATTAACAGTTAAAAATACTTTGAAATGATTTTTCAAGCCATTTCTTTGGAGCGATAGAGATTAAATTAGCTTC